ACTCCAAACTAACAGATACAGACACTAATCCTGGAAAAAAAAAGTCCCTCCCCCCCAGTACCACCAATACCACCAGTCCGATGACATTCTTTGCAAATATACAGGGTCTAAAGCCAGCAACGAACAACAAAATACCTTTCATCCATGGACTGCTTGCAGAGGCAAATGCAATGTTCGCGGCTTTCACAGAGACCCACATGAAGGATCACTTGGACAATGAAATATGGATCCCAGGTTACAACCTATACAGATGCGACAGAGTGAACAGGCAAAACTTCATTATGTGTAGTGACTATACCCTACATGACCAAAATACTCTAGCTATATACTTGTCCTAACTTCCAACCACTACAGATATCAGTAGTAGAACTCAACACACAACTCAGGATATAAATAACCATAATTTTAAACCTAGAAGATGATTGATCACGTTGACCCTGATCTAAACCTCCATAATCTGACACCCAATCAAAACCTATTGGAAAGTAACTGCCTTTATTACACAGCATCACAAGCCACCACTATCCTAAACAATGCTAAAAGTCTATCAGTACTTAACTACAACATCAGGTCCTTAAGCAAACACTATGATGACCTCCTAGCACTCCTTGAATCACTAAAGACACCCTTCTCCTGCATTATTCTTACTGAGACCAGGCTTAAGCAGGACACAATAGATATCTACCCTCTACCAGGATACACAGCAATTCACAACTGCAGAACAAACCAAGTTGGGGGTGGTATTGCAATCTATCACTCTAACCAATTATCTTGTCTTAGCACCCCTTGCTTTAGTGATGAATATGGGGAATACATTTTTGCTAATTTTACTGTAAAAAACCTTAAGACGCCTATAACAATCGGTGCCATTTACCGGATACCTCACACAAACATCCCAAATTTCAGTGAGAAATTAAAGTCACTAATAACAAACAGACAAATGAATAAGCACCACCTTCTCTTAGCTGGAGACTTCAACATCAACCTTGGCTTACTAGATGATCAGCCTGTAACTGATTTCATCAACAATATGAACAACACACTTCTCATACCAACAATAACTAAACCAACCAGGCTCACTGAGACAAGTGCAACCATAATAGACCACATATGGACCAATATACTAGCCCCCCTTAAATCAGGGATAATCACAGATAGCACTACAGACCACTACCCTACCTTCCTCCTGACAAACATTAGTAAACCACCACTTGAATACAACAAAGTCTCATTTAGACTCCATGACGAGGCCTCAGTAAGGAAGTTCACAGCTGACCTAGAGACTGTTGATTGGCCTACAGAATTCTCCAAGGCCAATGGTATTGATGACTGGACAGACATCTTTCTTAACAAATTACTTAGACTATACAACAAACATTGTCCTATAAAAACAAACAGATCACAAACAAACGGCTTGGTTGCCCATGGCTAACCAGCACCATTCTGAAATCCATTGACAAGAAACACCAATATGAAAAGCAATATAGACAGGGCTTAATACACAAAGATACTCTTAAACACTATTCATCAGCTCTCACCAAAGTAATAAAAAAAGCCAAACAACTATACTACTCCAGTAGATTCACAGACACTAGAGGAGATATAAAAAAGACTTGGAAAACACTCTCTCAGATTCTAGGGACCCACAAACTGAGAAAAACAAGAATATTGTCCTAACTAAACCTAATGAAACACCACTACATCCCACTGACACAGCTAACAAGATAAACGACTTCTTCTCAAACATAGGATCTAATCTCGCCAGTAAAATCCCACATACCAATGCCCATGCCGGGGACTACCTAGATGGAAATTTCCCTAATTCCTTCTATCTTGCACCAACTGAGCCCACGGAAATCATTGAGATCATAAGTCACTTAAAAATAACTCAGGGAATCTGTCTCATGTCCCACCATTACTGTACAAGCGAGCGGCCCATGTCCTTTGCATGCTATTTCATTACTTTTTAACAAGTCAATAGAGACTAGCACCTTCCCGAAACTACTCAAGATGGCAAGGGTTACACCAATACATAAAGGTGGTGACCCTACAGACTTAAACAACTATAGGCCAATATCTAACTTACCATGCTATCCAAAATCTTTGAGAAACTCGTGCACGAGGAGACTGTATTCATTTATAACGGCTCAAAACATACTCAACCACCCCTGCCAGTTTGGATTTAGGAAAAATAAAAGCACTAATGATGCAATCATAAAAATGCTAGATCTGCTTTACACAGCATTAGAAAATAAGGAATATCCACTAGGAATTTTTATTGACCTAAGAAAAGCTTTTGACACAGTAGACCACGACATCCTACTCCACAAACTTGATCACTACGGTATAAGAGGCCATGCACTTGCTTATTTCGTCTTACATTACTAATAGGTATCAGTACGTCACCATTAAAGACACAGCATCAGCAACACGGCCACTTGATACTGGAGTTCCGCAGGGAAGTGTCCTTGGTCCCCTGCTCTTCCTCATATACATCAATGACCTTCCAAACGTATCCCAACACCTGAAACCCTTCTCTTTGCTGATGACACGACTTATGTCATCTCTCACCCTAATCTTGCCACCCTCAACACCATTGTGAATGAGGAGCTGATTAAAATATCGACTTGGATGACAGCCAATAAACTTACGCTTAACACTGACAAAACCAACTATATTATGTTTGGTAGCAGAGCAGGAGATGCACAAATTAACATTAAGATTGACAACACTCTAATTACCAGAAATAATGGGGAAAATTCCTAGGCTTATACCTTGACAACAACCTGAATTTCAGCACCCATATCCAGCATATAGCCAAAAAAAGTATCCAAAAACGGTTGGGATCCTACTCCAAGATACGATACTACGTGCCGCAAAATACCCTTCTCACACTATACCACTCACTTATTTATCCATACCTCACCTATGCTATTTGTGCTTGGGGATCAACTGCAGCAACACACCTAAAGCCAATAATAACCCAACAAAAGCTGCAGTAAGAATAATCACTAAATCCCATCCTGGCAACACACCCCCCCACTCTTCATAGATCTAAACTTGCTCCCAGTTCAGTACATCCACACTTACTACTGTGCAATCTATATCTACAGGGCCTTAACTCTAATATCAACTTGACCTAGAACGCTTTCTTGATAGTTGTGACAGAACCCACAGGCATAACACCAGACACAAACATCTCTACGACATTCCCCGTGTCCGACTAAACCTTTACAAAAATTCAATGTATGTCAAAGGCCCTAAAATCTGGAATACCCTAACCTGAGAACTCTAGAACTGCAGACACATTCATCACCTTCAAAACTACCATTAGAAAACATCTTATCTCCTGATACACCCCGTCAACTAACTACACGAATACCACCTGGTGGTTCACACTTACACTCACTCACTCATTTGACCATAAACGGAAATATTAATCTCAGTCTTAAAATAATGAATCCTGTGATACTCCAATACTGAAACTATGTACTGTGCCAAAACAAAAGCATTCACATTGCTAAACTCACAAACTAGTATTTAGTCACTTATCCATAATACCAACTTACCTCATAATTTGTAATATTTTACAATTAAGAATAAAACTAAGTATGCCCGAAATTCCTAGCCATGCTAAGCGTTCTAGTGGTACACTCTGTAATCACAATTTTACTACATGTAAACCAAACAATAACCAAATTTCTGTAAACTCAGCATTGTAATCCTTATAGAGAATAAACTTTTGAATTTGAATTTGAAAAGGGAGGTTGGGGGTTTGGCCTGTATATCGCAGAGTCACTTATTTGCACAGAACTGCTTAATGCCTCAAATGATGTAGTGGAAGTTTTAGCAGCAAAGATCGAGAACCAAAACCTAGTCATTGTGGTAGTCTACAATCCTCCTGATGCAACGTCTCAGCAATTCCAGGAACAGCTGTTAAAAATTGACCACTGTCTGGAAAATCTGCCGCCTCCTGCCCCCAACAACTTGCTCCTGGGGGATTTCAACTTAAGGCACATAAATGGAGGAATATAGCGAATAATGTTGCTGCAGAGATAACTCCAGGAGGCAGCTCTTACGAGAATTCACACACACACACGAGCTTTTAAATCTCTGCACAAAATTCAACTTAAACCAGCAAATAATAGAGCCTACTAGACTGGAGAATACACTAGACCTCATCTTCACTAACAATGATGATCTGATACAAAATGTCACCATTTCAAAAACAATATATTCAGATCACAACGTTATCGAGGTTCAGACATGTATGCGCGGAGCTCCAGACCGACATAATGAGATTAGTCATGAGGGAGCCTTCACCAAATTCAACTTCAATAATAAAAACATAAAGAGGGACCAAGTAAACCAAGTCCTAACCGATATAAGCTTGGAAGATAGACTAAGCAACACAGACCCCAACTTATGCCTAGAAGAGATTAACTCGGTGGCACTCGATGTATACTCAAGGCTTATTCCTTTAAGAAAAAGGAGGAGTAGATGTAAAATAGAAAGAGAGAGGCGCTCCCTTTACATGCGACGAAAAAGAATAACAGAGCGGCTAAAAGAGGCCAATATATCCGAAATGCGTAGGAAGTCACTGGTCAGAGATATAGCAATCATCGAACTTAAGCTAAAGGAATCTTATAGGAGTCAGGAATCACAGAACGAACTAAAAACCATAAATGAAATCGAAAGAAACCCAAAGTATTTCTTTTCCTATGCCAAATCAAAATCGAGAACAATGTCCAGTATTGGGCCCCTACTTAAACAAGATGGGTCCTACACAGATGACAGCAAGGAAATGAGTGAGCTACTTAAGTCCCAACCAGTCCTAACCAGACAGAGTCGAAGATCAAAATGAATTTTTTACGAGAGTGCCACAGAATTTGGTTAACAAAAGCCTATCTGATGTTATCCTGACGCCAAATGACTTCGAACAAGCGATAAATGACATGCCCACGCACTCTGCCCCAGGGCCAGACTCATGGAACTCCGTGTTCATCAAGAACTGCAAGAACCCCCTATCACGTGCTTTTACCATCCTATGGAGAGGGAGCAGGGACATGTGGGTTATTCCACAGCTACTAAAAACAACAGACGTAGCCCCACTTCACAAAGGTGGCAGTAAAGCAACAGCAAAGAACTACAGACCGATAGCACTAACATCCCATATTATAAAAATCTTTGAAAGGGTCCTAAGAAGCAAGATCACCACCCATCTAGAAACCCATCAGTTACACAACCCAGGGCAACATGGGTTTAGAGCAAGTCGCTCCTGTCTGTCTCAACTATTAGATCACTACGACAAGGTCCTAGAAGCACTAGAAGACAAAAAGAATGCAAAAGCCTTCGACAAGTGTGACCATGGCATAATAGCGCACAAAATGCGCGCTAAAGGAATAACAGGAAAAGTTGGTAGATGGATCTATAATTTCCTCACAAACAGAACACAAATAGTAGTAGTCAACAGAGTAAAGTCTGAGGCGGCTACGGTGAAAAGCTCAGTTCCACAAGGCACAGTACTCGCTCCCATCTTGTTTCTCATCCTCATATCTGACATAGACAAGGATGTCAGCCACAGCACCGTGTCTTCCTTTGCAGATGACACCCGAATCTGCATGACAGTGTCTTCCATTGCAGACACTGCAAGGCTCCAGGCAGACATCAACCAAATCTTTCAATGGGCTGCAGAAAACAAATATGAAGTTCAATGATGAGAAATTTCAATTACTCCGATATGGAAGACACGAGGAAATCAAAACTTCATCAGAGTACAAAACAAATTCCGGCCACAAAATAGAGCGAAAAACAAACGTCTAAGACCTGGGAGTGATCATGTCGGAGGATCTCACCTTCAAGGACCATAACATTATATCAATTGCAGCTGCTAGAAAAATGACAGAATGGATAATGAAAACCTTCAAAACTAGGGATGCCAAGCCCATGATGACACTCTTCAGGTCATTTGTTCTATCTAGGCTGGAATATTGCTGCTCACTAACAGCACCTTTCAAGGCAGGTGAAATTGCTGACCTAGAAAATGTACAGGGAAGCTTCACAGCGCGCATAACGGAGATAGAACACCTCAATTACTGGGAGCGCTTGAGGTTCCTGAACCTGTATTCCCTGGAATGCAGGCAGGAGAGATACATGATTATGTACATCTGGAAAATCCTAGAGGGACTAGTACCGAACTTGCACACGAAAATCACTCACAACGAAAGCAAAAGACTTGGCAGACGATGCAACATCCCCTCAATGAAAAGCAGGGGTGTCACTAGCACGTTAAGAGACAATACAATAAGTGTCAAGGGCCCGAGACTATTCAACTGCCTTCCAGCATACGTAAGGGGGATTACCAATAGACCCCTGCCAGTCTTCAAACTGGCACTGGACAAACACCTAAAGTCGGTACCTGACATGCCGTGCTGTGGCTCGTTCATTGGATTGCGTGCAGCCAGCAGTAACAGCCTGGTTGATCAGGCTCTGATCCACCAGGAGGCCTGATCACAGACCGGGCCGCGGGGGCGTTGACCCCCGGAACTCTCTCCAGGTTAACTCCAGATACCAGTACAAATTAGGTAAGAAGCTACAGCTCAGGACTCGAGTTACTCAGTGTCTATGTGACACACAACCTCAGTGCAACATAGAAAATCACTAAGTCTAGGCTATGTTCTGTGAACAGAGTTACACAGAACCAACAACAAGAAAGCGACAGAGACGATCTTCCAAAAAGGGCCAGAAATAGAGAGCTGGAGAGGGACCTCTTGTTAGAAGCACGTCCAACAGACAAGAGCTCGCACAGGCCAGCTAGACTCTCTCCAGGTGAGGTGTGATCGCCCCACCCTGTTTACGTGACTCTCCTCTGACTGCTGCTGCCCAGCAACTCAGAAGCCGGCAGCAAAACAAGCGAGGTGAAAACTACAGTAGTTAGACAATGCTATCAGCTATTTCATACTCTCGAACTATGAGCACTGAATAATATATAAATGTTATATCCTACCTAATAATATAACTACATCAAATAATAATATAAAGCAATATATTTACGATATAGCTAATATCGCAAATATAAGCAATATAAAATTATATGAACAGGTAATATACATTATATACATTGTGACACATTCAGGGGTCGTAATACCAACTGGTCATTCTATACCTGAAAAAATAAGACCTCACTAGTATATGAGACTTTGTGCTGGATCTTTAGCCTTGTGTACGTTCTGCAAGAGGCGAGATAACGAGATTGACGCCTTCTGGTCTCAGCAGGAAAGGAGACCGTTCCAGTTTTAGTTCCTCATGACCATTGCATAGGCGTAATTCAGCTTTTAATAACAGCTTAGCTAGTGCTACCTTGACCTCCATCAGGGCAAATCGCATTGCTAAATAAAAAAAAATCATAATTAAAAATAATGAAAGGACAGGACTAGATACTTGAATGAGTATTATAATTATACTTCTGGGTAGCATTAAAGAAAGAAGTAAATACAATTTCTTGTTGCACCTACCTAAGCAATTTCTAGGTCCCATTCCAAAGGGCATGTGAGTAAAGTTGGTAATATCGGCCTTGTTCTCCGGCAGAAAACGATCTGGTAGAAATGCTTCTGGATCCGGCCAGTAACGAGGGTCGTGATGTAAACTCCAGAATGGGATTGTTACGTACTCGCCTGGATGTAGAGTCACGTTTGTGCCAGGGATTCTGTTAAAATAAACTTATTTTTAATATGTAAGAAGCTTAATGACTCACGAAATCATAATGACTTGATTGTAAACAAACCATACTACACGTAGGGTTAGAACCCGCGATCAGAGTCTTATAACTCCAGACCATCGCGTTAGCCACTGGGCGTCAGTCTGGAGTTTTAAGACTCTCTGATCGCGGGTTCTAACCCCACCTGTGGTATGATAAGCTTGATGACATTTCAGCTTACTGCAATGAAAGCTTTCAGAAACTGTCATTACCACAAAGAACATATTAAAGCCCATGTTTCAAAAATAAACTTGGAAAAACTACGTTTAGGGGAATGGAAGCAATAATTCGCTAGCTAAATCAAATTTCTGTTAAATGAAAGTTTTTGTAAATGTACGACCTACTTGAAAGTTTTGGTGCATTTTCGTTCACCAACGAATGAAGGCGGGTACAGTCTCAAAGTTTCTGTAAATAGAACAAAAATATTAAAATAATCAATCGCAGACTTATGCTCGTCCACAAACTAAAAGGTACTACATAAACATTACACACGCACAGCAGAGGTGGCAAGAAGAACTCACATGAGAAGAGCAAAGTTACTATTTATGGGTGATTTCAATCACAAGGAGATTGACTGGGAAAAACCTGGAGCCCCATGGAGGTCCCGAAACATGAAGAGCCAAGATGGTGGATGTGGTACTGGAAAGCCTCATGCATCAACATGTTAGTGACACTACCTGAGAGAGAGGTGAGGATGATCCAGCAAGACTGGACCCAGTATTCACTTTGAGTAATTCGGACATAAGTAAATTTATTCAGGTATACACAAATACAGTTACATAGAATTAACATACATAGCAGCATATGTGTAGAGAACTTAGGATGACCCAAAAAAGTCAGACTGACTTATTTCCATTGGGGTCCTTTTACCTTATTATTATAATATAAAGGTTAAAATATTTTCTTATTATTCTATAATGAAGATAACATCTTATTATCATACTAAAAAGACTATCTACTACACGAGGGTCATTAAGACTATCTACAATACGAGGGCCATTACTAGGAATATGGTAAAATTTACACGTATGTTAGCTAAAAAATAGAAAATCATTCCCCTCCCTTTCTGTAGCTACATTCATCAGACACCTTTTGGCACTCTTCTTGATCTGGTTCATGCTATGACTGGCTTTGACATGTGCGGGCAGTCTGTTCCATTCTTTTATTGCTGTACAATAAAAGGTGTTTGAAGCCTGGCCAATGACTGTGGGTACTACAAAGTTGTGCTCTCTCCCCCTAGTACTATGATTGCTGAGGTTCCCAACCTTGACAAAATTGTCAGCAAGATATTCTGGACACTGAGTAATTTTATATACATGATTTAGCTTCAGTTGTTTTACTCTGTCTTCAACATTCAGCATATCCAACTGCTGTAATTCATTCTGGCCTACATGTTCTCTTGGTCCCAACCCCAGGATGAATCTTACGATTTTGTTCTGGGTGATTTCCAGTCTATCTTTCATTTTTTTGGGTCAAGGCAGAGTACCATGAAGAGTAAGCGTAATCCATATGGCATTGTATAAGGGCTAGACATAGGGTCCTGCGAGCCTCAGTAGGTAGACACTGTGCTTGTCTATACAGGAACTTCAGTCTGGCATTCGCTTTCTTTACTACACTGTTCCCTATCAATTCTCCTGACATGCATGGGCCAAAGGGGATTCCCAGATATTTCACTGATGAAACCAAAGTGATGGGCTCCCCATTACATTGAACATTAAATTTATTTACCCTTCTCAGTTTATGTTTCGTGCCAAAGAGAATGGCTTCAGTTTTCCCGAGGTGTAATGATAGTTTGTCTGCTAACCATTTGCTGCAGGACTCCAGTTCCAGTGTTAAAACATTAGCTATATCTTGTGGGTCTTTACCTGTCACTAACAGAGCACTGTCATCTGCATACAGTAGGAGTTTGCACTTGACACTGATAGGCATGTCATTGACATAACATAAGAATAATAAGGGACTCAGAATACTACCTTGGGGAACTCCACATGCTATCGGCAGGGGTTCTGATTCCGTTTTGTTGATTTTGACAATTTGTCTCCTGTTGCTAAGGTAGGACTTAAACCAGTCTACAGAACCTATACCGATATCTTGAAGTTTCTTACATAATATATTGTGGTTGACAGTATCGAAGGCCTTTTGCAGGTCTAAGGTTACCATGCCTATGAGGTTCCCCTTTGACATTTCAGTTCTCATGTAATCCATCAGGTTAATTAGGGAGGTGTCGGTTGAGTAAGATCTTCTAAAGCCCGATTGATAGCTATGGAGAATGTTGTCATTAAGGTACTTAACTACTTGAGAGTACACCGCCCTCTCTAGTATTTTAGATATTATACTGAGTATACTAACAGGTCTATAGTTGCTGACATCAGACCTACTATTTTTCTTGAAGATAGGAGTAACTCTGGCCTCCTTGAACCCATCTGATACCTGGAGAGAGTTTCGGGGGTCAACGCCCCCGCGGCCCGGTCTGTGACCAGGCCTCCTGGTGGATCAGCGCCTGATCAACCAGGCTGTTGCTGCTGGCTGCACGCAAACCAACGTACGATACGGTATTAATGGTGACTGATAGATTTATTATGTGAGCAATAGGGATTGACAATTCAGAAGCACTATCTTTTAGGAACTTAGACGGGATGTTATCCGGGCCGGTGCTCTTAGTTGGGTTTAACCTGCTTAGTTCTTTTTGAATAAAGTCATGAGATACACTTACTAGTTGACAACTGTTTGGGGTTACCCCTTAATTGGTATAGTATGTTTGAAACTTATCAGAGTCTGTGTTAAAGGTATTTGATGCAGCTGGTAGTTTACTTACTAATGTTGATGCAACAGATGTGTAGTAGGAATTAAGGCAATTTGCCCCCTTAGATGTTTCGTGGCATACCTCGTTATCGATAATGAGTACTATGTTAGACCTAACTACTGGCTTATGGCTATACCCCAACTGTTTTAGTTGTTGCCAGAGCTTTCTGGGGTTAACTTATACTCTTCAATTTTTGAGCAATAGTGCTTTGCCTTTGCTCTTTTTATAAGTCTCTGCACTCTGTTCCTCACCCTTTGGAATTCATTTAGTGCTGCAATATCCTGTCTGTTTGCTTTAAATTTTTTTAGCAGCTGGTCTCTGAATTTCATATTATCTAATATCAAGGATATCATGTATGAAAGGCCCCTTGGAGCTAGTGATCATTTGGTTCTGTGCTTTGATTACATAGTTGAGCTACAAGTGGACAGGGTAGCTGTAACAGGAAGGGAAAACCAAACTACAAAACGGGGCTGAAGGGATGGTCTACACAGGCATGAGGAACTTCCTGGAAGACGTTCAGTGGGAGCGAGAACTGGCAGGAAGACCAGTAAAAGAAATGGACTATGTGACAACAAAATGCAAGGTGGCAGAGGAGAGGTTTGTTCCCAAGGGAAACAGAAATAATGGGAAGACCAGAACGAGTCCTTTGGGAGGCAAAAACAAAGTGCACTAGAGAATGGAAAAAGTACAAAGGACCAAGGAAAATAGATTAGCTGAAGAGCCAAAAACGAATATGCATAGATAAGAAGGGAGGTTCAGAGACAATGCGAAAACGACATAGCATCAAAAGTCAAGTCTGACCCGAAGCTGCTGTACAGCCACATCAGGAGGAACACAACAGCCAAGGATCAGGTAATCAGGCTGAAGAAGGATAGTGAGAAGTTCACAAGAAACGACCAAGAAGTGAGGAGCTCAACATGAGATTTAAAAAAGTATTTATAGTGAAGACAGGAGGGTCTCTGGGAAATCAGAATAGGGAGGTACACCAACAAAGGGATACACATACAAGTGCTGGATGAAATACACTCAACCGAGGAGGAGTTGAAGAAGCTGCTATGTGAACTAGATACCTCAAAGAGTCTGGGAATGGACATCTCTCCATGGGCCCTTAGAGAGGGAGCAGAGATGCAGTGTGTGCCACTAACAAAAATGTTCAACACATCCATTGAATCTGGGCAACTACCTGAGGTATGGAAGATGGCAAATGTAGCCCCAATTTTTAGAAAGGAGACAGACACGAGGTATTAAACTACAGATGTGTGTCACTGAAGTGTATGGTATGCAAAGTCATGGAGAAGATTATCAGGAGGAAAGTGGTGGAACACCTAGAAAGAAACAAGCTTATAAACGACAACCAGCACGGTTTGAGGGAAGGAAAATCTTGTGTCACAAACCTACTGGAATTTTGTGACAAGGTAATGGAAGTAAGGCATGAGAGAGACGGGTGGATAGACCTCAGACAGAGTATAGTCTAGGTGGCCAAAGACTGCAAACCTCACTCAAGGAAAACGATTTTGGGGTGAGTATAATACCGAGCACATCTTCTGAGGTGCACATCAACCAGATAACTGCTGTAGCATACGGGCGTCTGGTAAACCTAAGAACAGTGTTCCGATACCTGAGTAAGGAATCATTCAAGACTCTGTACACCGTGTACGTCAGGCCCATATCGGGGTATGCAGCACCTGTTTGGAAACCACACCTGGTCAAGCAGGCACTTCAGGAAATTAGAGAAAGCGGAAAGGTTTGCAACAAGACTGGCCCCAGAGCTAAGGGGATTGTCCTATGAAGAAAGGTTAAGGTAAATCGGCCTGAAGACACTGGAGAACAGGAGGGTTAGGGGAGACATGACAACGACATATAAAAGACTCCGAGGAATTGAGAAGGTGGACAAAGACAGGACAGATGGGACACAGAAACAATGAGTCACAATTTGAAGTTGAAGACTCCGACATATCAAAGGTATGCTAGGATGTATTTTTTCAGAGTTGTCAGGAAGTGGAATAGTCTAGAAAGTGACTTAGTGGAGGCAGGAACCATACATAGTTTTAAGACAAGGTATGATAAAGCTCATGGAGCAGGAAGAGAGAGGACCTAGTAACGATTCATGGTACGTTATGAGGTATCACAGTGGGCGCCTGTGACGAGCGGGGTCCCACAAGGTTCAGTGCAGGGACCAGTGTTATTCCTGGTATACGTGAATGACATGACAGAAGGGAAAGAATCAGAAGTTTCCCTGTTTGCAGATGATGTGAAATTATTGAGGAGAATTAAAACAGATACGGATCAGACAGGCCTACAGTTGCTGAACAGGCTGGACACCAGGTCCAGCATCTGGCTCCTAGAATTTAACACTGCCAAAATGCAAAGTCATGAAGATCGGAAAAGGGCAAAGAAGACCACAGACAGAGTATAGGTTAGGCGGCCAAAGACTACAAACCTCACTCAAGGAGAAAGATCTAGGGGTGAGTATAATACCTAACACGTCGCCGGAAACACACTTAACCAGATAACTGCTGCAGCATATGGGCGTCTGGCAAACCTGAGAAGAGCTTTCTGATACCTCAGTAAGGAATCGTTCAAAACTCTATACACTGTGTACGTCAGGCCCATACTGGAGTACACAGCACCAGTTTGGAACCCACACCTGGTCAAGCACATCAAGAAATGAGAGAAATTGCAAAGGTTTGCAACAAGGCTAGTTCCGGAGCTCAGGGGAATGTCCTACGAGGAAAGGTTAAGGGAAATCTGTCTGACGACACTGGAGGACAGGAGGGTCAGGGGAGATATGATAACAGCATACAAAATACCGCGTGGAATAGATAAGGAGGACAGGGATAGGATGTTCCAGAGACGGGACACAGAAACAAGGGGTCACAATTGGAAGCTGAAGACTCGGATGAGGCAAAGGGATATTAGAAAGTATTTATTCAGCGACAGAGTTGTTAGGAAGTGGAATAGTCTGGCAAGCGATGTAGTGGAGGGAGGAGCCATACATAGTTTTAAGACGAGGTATGATAAAGCTCATGGAGCAGAGAGGAGGAGGACCCAGTAGCGGTCAGTGAAGAGGCGGGTCCAGGAGCTGAGTCTCGGCCCCTGCAACCACAATTAGGTGAGTACACACACAGGAACCATACACAGCTTTAAGCCGAGATATGATAAAGCTCATGGAGCAGGGGGAGAGAGGACCTAGTACCGATCAGTGAAGAGCGGGTCCAGGAGCTGAGTATCGACCCCAGCAACCACAAATAGGCGAGTACAAATAGGTGAGTACACATAGTTACACTCATTTACACATACACACACACAGGTTGAGGGAAATCGGCCTGACAACACTGGAGGCTAGGAGGGTCAAGGGAGACATGATAACGACATATAAAATACTGCGCAGAATAGACGAGGTGGACAAAGACGGGATGTTCCAGAGATGGGACACAGACACAAGAGGTCACAATTGGAAGTTGAAGACTCAGATGAATCAAAGGGATGTTAGGAAGTATTTCTTCAGTCATAGAGTAGTCAGGCCGGGAATAGCCTAGAAAGTGATGTAGGGGGGAGGCAGGAAACCCATAAAAAATTTTAAGGGCGGGGTATGATAAGCTCAGGGCGGGGAGAGGGGACCTAGTAGCATTCACGAAGAGGCGGGGCCGGAGCTGTGAGTCGCCCCCAAAACCCACAAATAGGGAGTACAAATAGGTGATACACCTACACCCTTACACCCCAAATACACATTTATTCTTCCCTTTAAAAAAACCCCTACAGATCCAACAATCACTTTTACCCGAACAAACTGGGGTAGCGCTGTTTCAGTTTTGAAAAATTTCTCTGTGCGCGGTCGACACAAAGCACACTCAAAAGTCTTTTATTAAATGTTTTACTTTCTTTTTTTTTAAATAATTTTATGAAAAAATTACTATGTTAATTTTACCAAATATTTTAAGAACTAAGGGGGGGACAAGTGCCCCTTACTAGAGCGGGGAAAAAAGTTGGCGTGGGGAATGCAAAAGGTTATCACCCCTTGTCTGAAAATTTTCTCTATATTGAATTTTAGCCTCTCTTTTTTTTTTTTGTATCGGCTCATTTTTTTCTTAACTTTTTGACTTATTCAGACTCAATTTGGGAAAAGTTAAAAATACATTTTCTCTCAGAGATGTTGGTGTAAGCAGGAAAAGCCCAGCCTCCCGTTAACAAAAGTATTTAAAAGAGAGGATTCAGTTTTCTTACCATTGAGGTTCCAACCTCGTAAACCCTTTCTTACCTCATTTTAGGTGTTGTTTGTTTTGGTTATCATTTCATTTTTCATTTTGTATAAAAAAAGGGTATAAAAAACCGAAAATATAAAAGTTTTAGACACAAGGCAACATCGGAATCTTTTTTGTAGACTTTTTCGCCACCATCCATCCATTGAAACTTCGTGTCAAAATTTCATCTTTATTTCTGTACAATTTTCGGGGTTAAATTTTTTTCCTTTTTACTTTCTACGGGAGAAAATCCACTACTCTTTTATTCCCGGAAACAAACCCTTTACAAAAAAAATTAAATATGGGTTTCTATGAAATATTCCAAAAATAAAAAAAATTGTTCAATAAAAAACGAACACCCCAGGATCTTTTCACCCTGAACAAGCATCGAGAAATTTTGCTTCCCTATGCCCTGGTAGGTAACAGCGCCCCTGTTCCCGAACCATGTGCGCACCTCCTGGCGGAGACGCGCTGGTGTACAGGGGCTTGGGCCGAAGGAAAGACGAGAAGGGGAGTGTTGAAGCAGTGGGGTCGTACCCGATTAAGAAGAGCACACATTTTCCACAATCCTGTGTCCGTAACACTGTAATGTTATTACATATTATTCCTGAAAGATTTTATTTTTTAAAAGAAAAGTAAACTTTCTGGGAAATAATTTTTTAAAAGGCCCCTAATGAGGGGTTACTGAAAAGCCACTTTTGCAAAAAGGATTTTTTTCTATGATTTCGTCGTGCAGGACTGAGAGTTAAACTGATTTATTTTTTTCACCTTTTACATAGAACGTGGAAATATTTAAGCAAATAACAAGGCCAAGAGAAAACCCCAATACTTTCTCATATATAAAAAAATTTCCAGGTTACAAAGTTTGTCGATACCCGGACACAGCATCTTTTTTACCGAGAAAAAAATTTCCAGTTTCCTCTTAAAATGTAGTGTAGAAAACCTTAACGGAATTCTGGAATAAGGCCACATTTGTTTTTTTATTCTTTATTCAGTGAGCTGAAGGTTTTGTTGGGACTTTTTCCCGGCCCGTTTTAAATGTTTAACATCCATTTTTTAAAAAGGCAAGGTACTAAAATCCCCAGTATTTAATTTTTTTATTTTTTTTTTTTTATTTTCCCAAATTTGGCAACATACGGGAACAAAAAAAAACAAAACTAAACCCAAACCATTATATATGCATACTTACCGGGTTTAAAATCTTAATTACAACAATGTTATTAAATTTTTTTTATAACAAAAGAACGTGCCCAAACATACACCTCTCTAACTTAAATCAGATAAAACAAAAGAAAAATAAATTAAAGCCAATTATTACAAAAAGGTCAAATTTCATTCAGTTTTTTATATTCGGTTGGTAGTTATTTTTAAAAAAATAAAGTTAATTTTGGGTTTTGGTTTAAAAATTTTTTTTAATAATTTGAAAACTTTAAGATATCATTTAAAGCATTTATCTAATTATTTTTTTGGGGAAAGAATAATCTTTGAAAGAATTGAATTAAAACGGGCCCCTTTTAACGGGAATGAAACCAAATTTTTACCTTTTATGTCAGATTTTTCATATTGAGATGGGCCCGAGGAAAATAAAAATGATCTTCCTTTTTTTCATTTTCGTTGAGTTCAAAAGTTTTTTGGGGAGGGTAAACAAGAAAGGTTTCATTAGTAAAGGGCAAATAAATATGTTTTGAGGGATAGGGGTTTTGTTTTGAATATTGTGGATTTCCCTTTTGGATTTGTTTTCCAAATAGCCTTTTGTTGGGTAAATTATGTTTAGATGGAAGTGTTGAAATGAACAAATTCCAATGGGAATAGGGGAAAAAGAGATTATAGGGGAAGGGTGAGGGTTTTGTGTATTGATAGTATGCCCCCTTTGGAAAATTTTTAAATTTGAGTTTTGTTGAAAATTTGGTCAAATTTAATTTTTTTTAAAAATTTTTCCCCCTTTATTTTTTTGTGATAGGTGACCCCATTTATCATTATTTTAAGGGGGACACTGTAGCTCTGTTACCAAAAACTGAATGAAGTAGGTTTTTGTCAATTTTTTAGTGAAAGTTTGTTAGTCCTAAATCCAGTAGATTTTTTTCTGTAATTCGTATTTACAGAAATTGGCTACGTGATTTTGGGCTCGGGTGAGAAAAAGACGTAGGTAGTTTTTCATCTGCAAATAGTGGGGGTTTTTGGAGTAATTGCGAAGCTTTTGGGAAAGGGGCCCTTTAAATGTATGGGAGAAAGAAAAAGGGGGCCAAGGCACCCCCCCTTGGGGGAAAACCAACTGTAATTGGTTGTGCAGAAGATTTTTCCCCCCCATTTGCTACACATTTTTGGCTTTTTGTTGCTGGGGTAAGACTTGAGGATTAGGGAGTGCCCTTTTAATACCAAAGTGGAAAATTTTTCCCCGTGGAGCAATTCATGGCAACTGTATCAAAACTTTAGGGTAATCAATGAAAAATCCCCATTTGGGAAACTTTTTTTTTCCTCTATTGCAGTGTATATATTTTTCTAGAAATGGGGAAAAATTAGCACATTAGTATTTTTTTTAAAGGCCTAAACCCAAAAATTGGCAGGGGTTTTTGGTATTTTTTGGGAGAAAAGGGTGGGAGAAATTTTTCTTTTAAATAAATTTAATTTTTTTCAAAGATTTTTGAGAAAAGGGTGTAATTTTGGATTTTGGGCCTATAGTTTTTTCAACTTTTTCCCTGGTCTCCCCCCTTTTTGTGGATCGGGGTGCCCCTTTTGCATTTTGAACTGTGGGGAAAGGGTGGGGGATTCAAGGGTTTTTTTTAAAAGAGTGTTGCAATATTGGTGATAGCATTTGTGACATTTTTTTATATAAGGGGTGGAAAGGGTATTTAAACCCCTTTGGCCTTTTTTTTTAGTGCGTTGAAATAAGGGAGATTTCGTAGGGTTTTTCCCGGACTGGGAAACAGTGTTTTCGGTATTGCCGGTGAGGTAGTTTTTTTGGGGGGGGTATCGAGTTTGGGGTTTTTATTGGAAAGGGTTTTGCCCTATGGGTGGAAAGAAATCATTGGTCTGTTTCTGTTTCTGTTGGTGGGAGTTGGGTTCATCTGTTTTTGCTAATTTTTTTTTCCGCTTTTTTCGTGTTATCTTTTTTTTTTCCCAGAATTTCTGATAGGGTTTTCCCCAGGTTTTTTTTTTATATCACCCCCCCGAAAAGTTGGAAAAAATCTTTTTCCATAATAAAAAATTTTTTTTTGCCCTTCTTACCCAAGGCCCGGGTTTTAGGTTGACGGAAAACGTTTTTTTTGGGTCTCTGGTTATGTGACCCATTCGGGTACTTTTTTTTCATATTGGTGTTTTGTATTTATGGTTTTTGAAATGCGGGGTGTTGGGCCGGGGAAACTGTTCAGCCCCTCTTTGCTGTCATCTGTTTATTTTTTTTTAGGGCGGGTGTTGTTTTAGAGGTTTTGGGGTTTTTTTTTTTAGAAAATTATTAAACATTCGTCAAAATCTTTATGGGTTTTTTCAAAGCTCTTTGGCCAATCAATGTTTGCAAATTGCTGTTGGAAGTTTTTAAAAATGGCTGCCTCATTTTTGAAGTCTAAAAGGGGACTTTAGTAGTGTCTTGGGGTATTCCCCCAAAATTTTTTGTTATGGGGAAAAGGTAGGGTAGGGGCCCCTTGTGAAATTAAACTGAAATTTAAATGCCGATTTTAAAGGGGTAGGGTTTTGGGTCCAAAATTGGTCAAGTGGGGAAACACTAGTCTCTGTAACTCTTTTTAGGTTTTTTTTACTTTTTTTGGGAGTAACATCAGTTACTCTTTGTTTTTGTGAATTCAGTAAACGTGGGGGCCCCTGGTCTTCCCAGGAATTTATTTTTGGAAGTCACCGAGAAAGTAAGTGATCTTTGTTCATGCGTGCATCAGTTATCATACCCCTAGTTTTTGATAAATTGGCAAAATTTTTTTACTGGGAACTCTGTAATTTTACCCAATGTAAGGGGTTTTTTGGGTAGGTACTTTGATTTGAATTTGCTATTATAAAATTCCCCATGTTCTTTCCCTTGTCAAGATTAGTATACATTCTAGTTGGTTGATTATTAAGGCTGTGCCACCCCCTTTTTGTTTCTGGCCAAACAGTTGTGTATGGCTGTGAAAAACCAAATGGCATAGACACCCTGTACACCCGGCTTTACCAGGTTTCATTTAAGTGTAATGATGGACATTTTGGCATGTAAGGAATTATAATGCTATGAGGTAAACGAAATGCTTCTTAAAATCTATATTGTATTTAAAAATATAGTTATGTAGTTGTTGGCACTGAGAATTTCCCTTTTGGTTTTTTTCTGCAGTTAGTAATTAAATTTAAAACTGTTTAAATTCTTTTAAGTCATTAAAAAAAGGGGGTTGGGTACGGACAATGCTTGTAATCATAAGTTTTTGTAGTGAACCCATAGTTTTAAAATTAAGTATAAAACAAAGTAAATAGCCCTTAAGCAAAAATAGCACCTGGATTTTTTAAACAAATGTAAAAAAAATTTGAGCAAAGGGGGCTAATACAAATAAAGTGATGACAAAAAGGGGAGCGGGGGAAAAATAGTAGGTAGTACTATAAAGGAAATTTTTTTAAAAGTTAGAATTATAGTAAAAAAATTTATAATATAAAAGGCCCCAAATTTTGGTTGGGGTGCCCCAAAAAAGGGTGGTAATCAAAAAAATGAGCTTTGGAATATAATGGCAAAATTGAACTTTTTCCTACTTTAGCACCTAAGAATTGCACCCCTTTATTTTTTTTAAAATTTTGGGAAAATTAAAAATAGGATAGTTTTTTATAAAGCTAAAAAAAAGGAGAAAACATATAAGGGACTAAAATTAAGTAATGGTAAGCCCAAAAATTTAAAAAGGCCGATGGGGAGGAATTAAAAAAAAACTTATAATATAAAAATACAATTTTTAAATTTAGTAAATTTTCAATTGCACTAGAGTCTGGATAGGTTGTTGACAAGATCAAGATTATAACTAGATTTAAATTGACAAAAAAAAATTCACAGTTTAAAATACCAAAAGAATAATAAAAAAAATAACAAAGGTAATGTCCCCTTTATTTTTAAAATGATAGTAAAGGGTAACAGGTACACGGTTAAAAAGGGATAAAAAAAGGGTTGGGGTTTTAATAAAAAAACTTTAAAATTTTTCTACAAAATGTTATGAAAGTTAAAAAAAAATTTTAATGTACAAAATTAAAATTGACTGGTATAAAATGGGTTTAATTAAAAATTTTTGGGAAGTAATAAATTTATTAAAAAAAAAGTGAAAAAATTTTAATTTTTTTTTCATTCAAAATTGCCCCTGGTAGTTTACTTAGGTTATAAAAACAGTACAAGGGAATTAAGAGTAATCTAGGATATTTAAAAGTGGTAAAAAAAACCCGTAAAGGTAAAAAGACAATTAAAAAATTATTTAAAAAATCAAAAATTTTAAGATAAATTTTAAATTTTGTAAAAATTTTAATTTTTTTTAAATTTTTGTAAATAATATCAATTTATATTTTTTAAAAAAAAAAAATGAGGGAGTAATATGGACAGAGAAAGTATCAAAATTTGCTAAGTTTTAAAAAACGAACAATAGTAAAAAAACAAAATCACATAAGGTGACCTATCTTATATAAAAACACAAAAATGAGGTTTGTTGATTATTTAAATTTCTAAGAAAATTGGGACAAAAGAAAATTTAACAATTAAAAGGGGCAAAACTACACTAAAACTACGTAGGCTTTTTTAGTTGGACATTGTTTTTGTTTATTCTCTGTAAGATTGGTTTTCCCTGAGAAACTGTAGATCATTCTCCCTTCGTTATTGTGTACAGTTACCTACATTTTTTTTCCCCAACTAAAAATTTTCCCATCCCGTGTGAAGCATTGGTGTAAATTTGTCATTATTTTCCCCCCTTAATTTTCGACTTTTTAAAACAAAAGGTTTTTGGGCGTTTTTTTGGGAAAACCGTTTTTTATAAAACCTTTTCTTTAAATTTAAAAGATGGCCCTTTAAAAAGTCCCCTTTTTTTTTGTCATGTAGTGGAATCCAAAACAAAAACACTTTTTTTTACCATGGGATCCTAGTAAACCCGGGTTTTTTTTATTTCTGACTCTGGTTTCAATAACACTTGTTTGGTCCTTTATGGGTCTGCAAGTAATTTTTTTAAAATGTTTTTTTTGGTTCAAATCACGGGGAAAAAATGGACTTTTTAACCCATTTTACTTTCGCCGATAGTTTATCTTGTTTAGTTTTTTCTTCTTGGGAGCAAAGTAGTCACTGAACTGGTTATCTAAGTTGTTTTTTCTTCCATTCTTTTTAACCGCTTTTTTCAACCCCTTTTTTATTTTAAAAGATAATTTTTTGTTGGGGAAGGCCCATCTAAGACTTCCCGGATGGTCTTGGGCACATTAGTCGTTTTTCCCGGTGTTTTAAAAACTTTTGTTCAAACTGAGGGAATTTTGGTTTTTTGAGTTTTTGTCAAACCTGGTGTCCTTGTTTTTTCTAGCGTCTCTCGAAGATTCATATTTTTTAATAACTAAATTGGAGATCCCTGAATTTAGGGGATCTGGATCGTTGGTCATACCGAGAGACTACTTGGTAAAGGTTTTTAATCCGGGGAAGAGAGGGGAGGATGGGCTGGGCAGCCATGGTTTTTTGTTATTGTTGTGGTGGGCCTTTAAATGGGGGTGATTTGGGGTGGTTGCTGGGCCGGCCTCCTCCTACTACACTTGTGAATTTGGATTTTTTTCGGGGGTTTTCTTGCTGGGGGTTGGGGCTGTTTTTCCCCTTTTAAATTGGCGCCTCATAATACTACAGGAAATTTTTGAATTTTAAAAAAAGTTTTAAATATACAAAGCTTTGGGTTTTCGTTTTTCGGGTGGGAGCGGGGGGTTTTTACCCGGGGGATTTTCAGTCTTCCCTTTTAAACTCTATTTTTTTTTTTTATTTGTAGGTTTCACTGTTGGTAATCTTTGGTCATTCTGGGGCTACTTTTGGGTTTTGCAGTTTTTTCTTGTAACAGGGCAACATAGGGGCATGGTAAACTCTGGATTTTTGGGGAAAAGTACGGAGCTTGGGGGAAATCGCTTTCCGGGGCCGCCGCGCCTGAGTAATGAATGCAAAAAACAAAAGAAGATTTTTTTTTATAACCCCCAGCCCCAAAAAATGCCCTCCACATATACTATAAGGGAGCAAATTTTTACCCAAAACCGTCCTTTCTTTACATATACTATTTAATCAATAATAGGGGTTTTTAATCGTTACCCCCAAATAAGGCTAAATATATAAGTGAAAAGATAAAAGTTTTTTTAACAGTTTTATCTGCCCACAGTTGGGAAAGGGCGATCGAGGTGGGAACGTTAATAAAACCTTTTTTATAGTGTTCTTCAGAGGGAAATACTTACAGATTACCATAGTAACCACAGTGTGATGGGGGCCCAGTCCCTGGACCCATTATGTACCTCTGTAATCTGTAAATACCTTCGCAACTTGTCATGATTGTGACCAGATCTACCTGGAGTTCATTACCTTTGTAACTAGTTCAGCTATCATAAATTGGGGCCCAGTCCCTGGACCCATTATGTACCTCTGTAATCTTCTGACTACCACCCACAGGATGGGTATAACTACCGCCCACAAGATGGGTATGACTACCGCCCACAGGATGGGTGTGGGGTGCATAATAAACATATTAAACTATATATATATATCCCACGCGAGTTTAATGTTTAATATGAAAATAATAATGCAAGAAGTTTCAGAGTATGACATTAAAATTCAATTAGATGTCAGTACTGACCTTGCTTAGATGGGGTGATGGATAGGTTTTCGGTTCCATCGAGGCTGTCAGTGGTGGACTGTTTGAGGGTTGTAGCTGCTGTCTTAGCAGTGGTGAGCTGGTCATTGTCAGCTTGTGCATCCAAAAGAAGGTCTAAATAATCGCCCCTTCTCTGGCTTTGTTTCCTGGCAGCTATAGTCTGCTCTACAACACTTTCGAAAAATCTGAGAGCAGTTGTCTCTAATTTTAGCCTCAGACTGTTAAAAATCCTTGGGGAAATATTTAAAAGACCAAATTTAATGGTTTTTATGAGTGAAAAAGCAAAGAATATTTCTGCTTGTCTGGCAAACTCTGCTTTCTCGTTCTTAAAGGAATCACATTCAATACCAAAAGCGCAGGAAGCAATGGTGTCCATTGTAAACAATCCGAAGTTTACTTTCATATCAGTATAAGGTTTCTTAGCAGCTTCTTGAAGAGTAAAGGAAACAAGAACGTCGGCCTTGTCAGTGATGAGAGGGAACATGACACGCATCTTACCCGAGGTGAAAGTGGGAGTCATTATGGAACGAAGGGCTTTCCACTCGTCTCCTGATTTGTTGAAAACCATTTCATTAATAAGGCTTCCTTCTTCCGCCAGAAACTGCCGACGGTCAACAAAATGATCAAAGTTCTTAACAAAGATGTTTTTGAGAAGGTCAGGATCACCGATCATCAAAACAGGACGAAATATTTCGTACATACCACATAGTGAGGAGCCACCATACTTAGAGTACACCTGTAAACATTAGAATATTGTCACAAGTTGAGTGTATCCATTTCCATACTCTCACCACTTCCAGACGTAATTCTTACAAGTTATAATAATTAATATTTTTCTTTAGTCAAATATTTGTTTAAAAGGAAATATATATATTGTAATCAAATGATGAAATTCATTTAAGATATTTTGATAAGAGCATCAAGTGGAGAATACTAACCTCATTAAGATACTCCCATCGAGCCTGGGTTAATGATAACTGCTTGTGCACATGACCCAGGAATGGTACGAAGGGCGGGGTAGGAACTCCGAAGGTCGACCAA